TTTTCATGTTCCAGAAATGTCTGATCCCATTGCATCCATTGTCAACGCTACTTAGCCAGATTTTTTGAAAAACATGAACAACATCTCATATCTTGAAGGGAGAGCAATTCTTGGACCGACAATTGATGAGGTAGACAAGGTCAATGACTTCATGCTGCTGCTGAACAGCTCAGAGGAAAAGACATATTTCAATTCGGATTCAGTGTGTTCCTCAACCTCAAACAATGAGCTCCTTCAGAAAATTCATTCTCCCGAATTCCTTAACGGCATAAAATGTTCTGGTGTTCCAAGTCACGAGTTGAAGCTAAAAGTTGGTGTACCGGTGATGCTCATGAGAAATATAGATCATTCGGCCGGCTTGTGTAATGGTACCCGACTCTTAGTGACAAAACTTGGTGAACATATTATTGAGGCGCAAATGATGTCTCGAACTAATGCAGGTGAGAAATTCCTTATCCCGAGGATTAGTCTAACCCCGGCAGATGTGAGGCTACCTTTCACATTCATGTGTAGGCAATTCCCCTTGATGGTTAGCTATGCAATAACGATGAACAAGAGCCAAGGACAATCGTTAGAGAATGTGGGTGTTTTTCTACGATGACCAATTTTTATACATGGGCAGTTATATGTTACAGTTTCGTGGGTGATGAGTCCGTCTGGATTGAAGTTCGTGATATGCGACGACGAGGGAAATAGGAAAAAGACCGCAAAAAATGTTGTTTACAAAGAAGTCTTCAATAATTTGTAAAATTGTATACTTATTAAACTCTAAATATTTTTTATTATGTATTTATTAGTCGTTTATCTCATTCCCGTGATAAATTATAATATAATCTTTAATTTCATTTAAAGGTAAAATGATTTTTTGTATCTTACTTATAATCTTGCAACGCACGGGTGGAATACTAGTAGTAATAGTAATGGTAATGGTAGTGGTGGTGGTGGTGGTGGTGGAGTCTATAAGTTATGATTTATTGGTTAAAAGTTCGTGTTTTTAGTCTAAAAGTTATGTTTTTAGTTAAACTTCGCAGTTCTCAACCTAAGAGCACTGCTCACCTGATCCGCTCCATATATATATAAGAGATCAAATACAAACCATGCTTAAAATACTAACTTACAAACTCAATAATATGCACACTTTGAACTTCACTATGCCGTAAAAATAATGTAAAGATGCAGGGGTGAGATCACATACAAACTAGTCTTTCCATTCAAATCATCTTTACATTATTTGTATTGCATATTGAAGTTCAAAGTGTTTCATATTATTTAAGCCATAAAATAGCAGTTTCATATTTACATTATTTGTAGTGCTTATTGAAATTCAAAGAGTGCATATATATATATATATATATATATATATATATATATATATATATATATATATATATATATATATATATATATATATGTGTGTGTGTGTGTGTGTGTGTGTGTGTGTGTATATATATGTGTGTGTATATATATATATATATATATATATGTATATATATATATATGTGTATATATATGTATATATATATGTATATATATATGTGTATATATATGTATATATATATATGTATATATATATATATATATATGTATGTATATATATATATATATATATATAGGGGATGGTTCGTGTGAAAATACATTATTAGGAGAGAAATGAGAATAGATTGTAACCATTTATATGATTGATCCAATGGACCCAAAAAAAGATGACTGATATTTATTACTCCTTCCGTTCCTAAAAATTCTTCCCGGTTTGACTTGGCACGCTTATTAAGAAAGTGGAATAAAGTGGAAATGTATGGTTGTGGTTGTGTAAGAAAAAGGTAAAATGAATGTGAGTCACATAAATTGTCCAAAATGGGAAAGTGGGAAGTATTTTTGGGAACAGCCCAAAAAGGAAAGTGGGAAGTATTTTTGGGAACAGAGGGAGTAGGTCACTTACCGGCCAATTTAAATTGATTCACAAACGGAAAGTCTAATACTAATTGACTGCAGGGGCACATATGTTCGACCATTTTTTACGTTATTTGTATGTCGGATCTTGCCTATTATTTACCAAATTAATTACTATGCAATGATTAGGATCATTTATTGCTTTACAAAGTTTTTCAAATATGGAGTACTTTTTTAAAAGTAGTACTCTACGAATTTGGCTTTAAATGCTCCTGATATTTCATTTTAAAATTAAGAATTTTCCTAAATGAAAATGAGAGAAATTTTTATCCGTATAGGTAAAAAGTGCATTTTTTGTTAAAGTGAATACACATAGAATGTTGATCATAAGTATGGTGTAGTATATATAGTGGGAATGCGTAAAAAAATTGAATGCATTTTACTGTTTAAGAACATGCACTTATTCACCAAGCGTTTTGCACTTTATACATCTTTCATATTTAATCTAATATTTCATTGACACAATATTACATTAATGCACACT